GCACATGTGATAATATATTGTGGAGGTGGGTACATGGGTTGATTATTATCTGTATATTTTACTTTATTTTTAATAATAAAAATAGAATAAAGAAACAAAACAGATGATTAAGACATAATCCAAACTTACCAAGATCTCATCTCTATTTATTCTGACACAGAGCTTTGTAAGTAGACAGTACCGTTTTAAACAGTAAAGACACACACAAGAGTAACACCTCCTGCCTACTAAGCTTGTATTCTCTCCTCCTGGGTATCTGCTTTTGCCAGCAGCTGGTGGAAAAGTCAGTCAGGTGGAACTCAAAGATCATCTAGGGTCCTGACAGAAGAGATGAGGAAACTGATCTACCTTGGAAGGACTGGCCTAGGACTGAGGACTATAGAAAGCCAATGAGTCACAGAACTTGGACCAGGGCCTAGACCTCAGAACCTAAAAAAGAGGAAGCACAAATTGGAGGTCAGCAGGCCAAATTAGGTCCACAGACAGGTTTTGTCTGATTTCTATGTAGTTTCCTTATTTTTTTTTTTAAAAGAAACGTGAACACTATGTATAGGTAGCCACAACCTCTCCATCTCCCTATTTTCTCATGTGAATACTTTATTCATTGATGTTACCCTTAAGTATATTTAAATGTATTTGTGTTTGTGACCTTCGTCGTGGAATCTCTGATATGGAAGAAACCTTAGGGAAAATAGGTGCCATGTTCTCAATGTAGTAATTGCCTCCACAACATCCCTGACATATAGAACATGCCTCTGCTTGAACACTTCAGCTATAGGATGCTTACCAACTTTTAACATAGCCCAGAAAATCTTTGGACAGTTCTGTTAGGAAGTCCTGCCTCGTATGGAGTCAAAGTACATCTGACTTCCTTCTCACTCATTATTCTCAGTCCAGCCTTCTAAAGGTGCCTGAAATAAATCTAATTACTCTTCTACAAATATTTGAAGACAGCTAACACTGTTGAACTAAATCATTTCTTCTTCAAGATAAACACTTTCGCTTCTTCTCACTCTTCTAGAGTTGCTGGATTTCAAATTCTTAGCATTGCGTTCCAACTTTTTGCTTCCTGCAGGTGAGGGAGAAAGATTGTGTATGGATGCATTCATCCATTTTCACACTGCTATATAACTTCTCTAAGACTGGGTAATTTATAAAGGAAAGAAGTTTGACTCACAGTTCAGCATGGCTGGGAAGGCCTCAGGAAACTTACCGTCATGGCAGAAGGGGAAGCAGGTACCTTCTTCACAAAGCAGCAGGAAAGAACAAAGGAGGAACTTCCAAACACTTATAAAATTATCAAGCCTTGTGAGAATTCACTCCCTATCATTAGCAAAGCGTGCGGGACCATGATCCAGTCACCTCCGTCCCTTGTGAAATACATGGGGATTACAGGTCTCTCCCTCAACACATGGGAATTGTAATTTGAGATGAGATTTGGTTGGGAACACAGAGCCAAACCATTTCAATGGATATCACAGTCAACACTCTTCATCCACTGCTTCCCCCTTCATCTATCTACAATCAGAAGAATAGTACGGCTTCCTCCCTCCCTGCTCTGCAGCCTTCTTCCCGCTCACTTCATTTTCTTTTCTCCTTTCTTCCCTCCGCCTTCACCCCTTGCCAGACACACACACTGTTTTCACTCCAGCGATGACGAACAATGTTGGAAGTTCTCTGAACAAAGCACGCCTATCTAAAATAGTATCACTATATCACTTCTTAGCCTCCTTTCTCCACATGAAGTATCTCCTTAATTATTTCCCCCTGGAAACTCCACTTATTCTTCAAACCCAGCTTCAATGTCACTGTCGAGGTGAAGCCTTCCTGTGCCTTCAGCCATCTCCTTCTCCCCTTTTACACTCCAGTCAAAGTTAATCCCTTCCTCCTGCGTGCTGATTTTACGTTATGCAAACTTCCATTCTTGTACATCTCCCACTGGATTACAATTATTTGTTTGCATTTCTATTTCCCTCTTTTGTATTGTAATCTCTTGGAGGGAAGGGCTTTTGTTAATCCTTTTTGTAATTCCAACACTAAGCCCAGTACTGGCATATAATAGGTGCTCAATAAATGCTTCTTGAATTAACTGCAACTCTGAGATCACTGAATATATTGCACAGATACAATTCGCCTTAAGGCCAGCTTGAGTGTTCTCCATTCTCCAAGTAGATTTGAGGTGCTGAGAACAGGAATCATGTTTTGTCTTCCTTGCTCTCCTAGTACCAAGTACAATTCCCATCACCACTCAGGTGATTGTTAAAGATACAGAGATGATTCACAGGCATATGATGTGTTGTAAGCATAAGAAATACAGATTTTTTTAGCCCTCCATTGCATAGAAGATTAAAAATGTATATACACATAAAGATTAAATTTGTATTCATATACATATATGCACACAAATATTTGTATACAGCTATCACCATGCATATGCATAAATAAAATATTGTTGCCTTTGCACGTTCCAGCATATATACATCTTCTAAATTGCAAAGTGCATTCCAGTTTATCTGAAGTCCTGCACAATATGTCTAACCTCCTAGGCAAAGTTTCTTGTTAATTTCCTTTGCTCCCATGAATGTATGATTTATTGAATGAAACTGCCACACAGCAAATAAAACCTTTGTTCTACCTAGAGGAATAGTTCCCCAACATCACAGAATTCACAGCCCCAGTTACAGAAGTTTATATAGGAGCGGCGGCCCAACTCAGAATCCCAAGCACAACAGTCTCCTAGCCCATTCTCACTAGATACATTCCAGTGTCTAATCAGACCAGAGTAGAGGGGATGAGAAAAAAATGGAAAGAAAACCAAACCAAACCGTAGTCCTAACAATGCTTGGAGGTTGTGTTTTTTTCCATTTTTGTTTCTCTCCTTTGTCCTCAGTTCCTATCACTTCACAGGGATGTGTTCAGAAACTAATACAATTAACTGGATCTCTTTCTTTTTTCTCTTCCATTATCCCTCTCACCCCCTAAAAGAAAACTTGTATTTTTATTGTTCAATCAGTGAATGCCAAAGACTTAGCCATCTGTTTCAATTTTTTTAAAATAGAAAAAGACCTTGAGTCATTTCAGTCTGAACCTCTGGGAATGTATCCAAGAGAGAGGAGAAATGTATCATACCTGATTTTCACTCTGCTCCTTTGCAATCCCAACCTGAATTAAAGAAACCATAAGATAAGCTGCAAAAGTGAGGAATCTATAAATTATTAAATATCAACAAAGAACATTCTTTTGAAGCTTGCAAATATGTATCACCCTAAAGCAAGGTCTATTTCTGACCAGCATCAGGTAGATTTGTTTGCTAAGTTCTAATAATGTTTTGGCTTTTGTTCCCAGTTTCCCTGAAGCTTAACATTGTAGAAGATGTTCTTTGTTGTGAGGTTTATTCTTAGCACGTATGACATCTGGGTTCATGTTTGCACATGCTTGTTTGTTTAAGAATATGCTTTCATTCATACAATCAGCATTTATTGAACCCTTACTTTAAGGAAACAAACATAAATGGTACGCTTTCTAGCTTGGTAGTATTCTGGTTAACTACTGCTTTACAAGGAACCTCCTTAAAGTGCTATGCGGTATGAATCTTGCTCACAGATTCTGTGGATCAGGAGTTCAGAGAGGGTTTGGTGAGGATATTGTGGCTCTCCTTCACAGTGTCTCTGGCCTCAGCTGGCAAAACTCAAGGCTGGGGTGACCAGATGGCTGAGAGCTGACATCATTTGAAGGTATAATTGGCAGTCGTATTTCTGGCAGTAGATTCACTTGGTGGGCTGGGACAGCAACCGGGGCTGTTGATCAGTGTTCATGTGGCCTCTTCATGCGCTTGTGCTTCCTCACTGCATGGTGGCCATGTAGTAGTCGAACTTACTATGTGATTCCAAAGGAGGATGTGTTAGCTGTAAGAAAGTTGTGTAATCTTTTCTGACTTTTTCTCAGAAGTTAGACGGAATAACTCCATTGCGTTGTCTTGGCTACATGTAACTTACAAGCCCAGCTAGAGTCCAAGGAAAAAGACCTAGATCCTATTTTTTAATAGAAGGTGTGTCAGGTCACACTGTAGAATAATGGGTATAATAGGAGATACTGTCATGGCCATCTTTGGAAAATGCAAGCAGCCACAAGTAGCTTATAGTTTGGAAGAAAAGTTAGGCATGTAAATGAATAAATTCAAGAAACAGTTATAGGGCTATTAAAACAAAGGGCTTGTTGAGTACAGCAAAATGCCTGGTCAGTCGTATCAGGAGAAAATTAGGTCAGAACAAGGTTAAAAGAGGAGGTGCCTCTAAGTTGGTAAGTGATAGTGGTACACCTCTTGGTGGAAGTTGTTGAATATTGAGATTTTAAGGAGTGACTTACATAAAACACCCTTCTATTAGTAACATATATACAGTACTTAAAACATGTTGTATGCTAAAGAAAAAAAAAATACCCTAAAACCAGAAAGCCACTGTATTCTCCATTGCCTCTCAAAATCCCTTTGCCAGTTGGGGGTTGAGCTTGAGATAAGATAAGAACCCCTGAAAGGTTGTGAGCTCCCTGTGGTTGGAGTGAGCAAAGGGCAGGATTAGAAATTACAATGTAATTCTTGCTAGGCCACACCATCACAACAACCCTTGACCTGGATAGAAGCTCCTGAAGCTGTGATGGGCCGCGAGGAGAATGCTGCTCAGACAGGACTTACCTGTCCTCTCTCAGGCACATCACTAGTCTCACAGAGGAGATGTGTCCCAGGGATCACCCAACCCAAGTTACTATAAGCTTGGTGTGTTTTCTCTCCTCCCCACGTCTTGGGACTTGATAAAATTATGGATTTGTTGAGGCTTCAGGGGTTGTTTCCCTAGGGATTCAAACATTTACTGACGTTATTTAAGGCTAAGGTCATCCCTGCAGCTCTGAAGTAGCACAAAGGCAATAAGAGACTGTCCAATGTTCCTAGAGAGGAGAGAGAGGCAGAGAATGTATGCATGAACGTCCCCCAAAGCAAACTGGGAAAACTTTTCCACGTTTTATTTATTTTGTGTTATTAAAGGAGCATCACCATGCCACCCGTGCTGAGCCAGAGCTTCTAATTCAGGGGAAATGAAATTCCAACCCAGTGTGTGCTTAACTTTCCCAGCACAGTAAATCCACTTCTCTTTTTGTCTCTGTCGCATCTCCCACTTGGTAGTGAAGAGATGTACAGTACAGTGATGAAGTCTGTCAGTGGGAAACCACTCTGGCAATTTCGGAGTGATGTCTGAAGAAATGAATTGAGCAGGCTTGCCTGGGGTGGAGACACAAGACAGTCCACGCTTTTATAGTCACTGCTGGGTTTGCAATTTGTTGTGTGTTGCCTATCTCTGCAGATTCTTTTCTGTTCCAACACATAAAGAAAATCATGCCTAGTCAGATGTTCCCGGCTTATCACTCCATATCAACCCAGAAGCAACACAGGTTTTCAATTTCTCAATTTGCAAGTGCAATTGAAAATTGGCAGAGGTTGCTATATAGGGATGAAATGAACAGTGGTGCAGTGTGGCCTCTACTGATAGAGATAGCATCCATGAGGTTGTGGGGCAGGAGTGGAATAAAGGATCTGGGAATCATCTCGCCCATATTTGATTGCTGGAAGCTCCAGCAAGCCATGTTATGCTCTTCCTTTCTGTATGTGGGCTAGCTCTCTTTTGCTTCTGAGCATTTGCCCATGTTATTTGCCTCTATTTAGTATTCTCTCTAGTTCCTCCTATTATATCCTATCTTCTTCCAGGTTTCTGCTTCATCTTTCTTCCTTTTTTTAATTTTAGAGACAGGGTCTCATCCTGTCACCCAATCTGAGTGCAGTGGCATGATCATAGCTCACTGCAGCCTCAAACTCCTGGACTCAAGCCTTTTACCTCAGCTTCCCTATTAGCTGGGACTACAGGCATGTGCCACCACACCTGGCTAGCTTTATTTACTGTGTTGTATGTATGCATGTATATATGTTTATAGAGATGGGGTCTCGGTGTGTTGTTTAGGCTGGTCTCAAACTCCTGGGCTCAAGGGTTCCTCCAGCCTCAGCCTCACAAGTAGGTGAAATTACAGGTGTAAGCCACCACGGCCTGCCTTCCTCTTCATCTTTCCAACTTTAGCTTGCCCCGTTTCCGTTTTGATGTCACCTTTAACTGGATGCCTTCCTTTCTCTGTTGATATGTGATTCGACCCCTCCTTCACTGGGCTTCTTTAATCCCTGAGCTTATTTTCAACACAGTCTTCTCATGTGGTATTATAATTTCCTTTTTTTCTGATTCAGTTCCCTCATGAGATTATAAGGTATGTGAGAGCAGGAAACCTATTTTTTTCTCTGCTCTTCTGTTTCTGTCCACCTAATGCAATAACTACCACATTGTGGATGCTCAAAAAATCATGAATCAATAAGGTAAGAAAATATAAGTTAGATCCTTTATCCCACTTCTGCATCCCCCCTCACAGATACTATCTCTATTTGTAATGGCCAGTCTATACCACTGTTCATTTTATCCCCACAGAAACCTGTGTCAACTTTCAATTGCACTTATAAATAGAGGCGTTGAAACATTATAGGTAAATTGAAGTAACAGGTAAATAGGTGATTAAAGTTCAAATGGATCAATCAAATAATGGAAAGGGAATAAGGTTTTATACCAACCAGATTTAAAAACAGAAAATGTAATGTGTATTAGTTAGCTCAGGCTGCTGTAACAAAATGCCATAGAGCAGCTGGCTTAAACAACATTTATTTCTCACAGTTCTGGATCTGGAAAGTCCAAGATCATGGTGGCAGCAGGTTCTGTTTCTGGTGAGGGTTCTCTTACTGGCTTGCAGATGGCTGTCTGCTCATTGTATCTTCACACGTTGGAGAGAGAGAAACAAGCTCATTGGTGTCTTTTTTTTTTTTTTTAGAAGTAAGGGCACTAATCCCATTATGGGAACCCAATCCTCATGACCGCATATAAAACTAATTACCTCCCAAAGGCCTCTTTTCCAAATATTATCACACTAGGGTTTAGGGCTTCAAAACAGGAATTTTGTGGGGATGCAATTCAGTCCATAGCACAGTGACAGTAACAATGAGATCTTGGTGAAAGTGTTACATACACTTAGAAGACAGCAATGTTACAATAGTAGGATATTTTTAGAAAGAACTACATGAATTTGAATTAAAAACTCTGTAATATTCATACCAATTGACTCTATAATCCTACTTCTGGGAATATAAGCTAAGAAAATAGTCTTAAAGAAGGAAAAAACTGCATACATGAAGAGTCTTCATTTTAGCATTGTTTACAATACTGAGAGGTTGGAAACAATTGGAACAGTACAGGAATGGTTACATAGATGACAATATCATGGACTATAATACCATATTATGCAGCCATTAAAATGATAGATTTGAGGCTTATTTTGCAACATAGAAATAATATTTATTGTGTAATTTTAGGCTACACAATCAAATTATACCTATACTATGGTTTAAATTATATAAAATTATGTTTTTGAGTGGACGAGTTCTGAACAGGAATAAATGGAAATAGCTGTACTTACTGACATGGTTGGATTTTGTGCAATTTTAACATTCTTTTAGCTTTTTTAGTGCTATGATGCATGACTTTAAGATAATGTTTTAAAAGAAAGATCCTGAAGAAGCTATTGAGAACTGAGTCGTAAGCCTGATAGATTCTTCTTTCAAAACATCTTCCTGGGATTTGTTTGAGACAATCTTGGCTAATGGATACAGAAATCTCCTTTCGCTCCTCTCAACATGGCAACCTCAAGATTAAATGAAAAGGACCTAGAATATGGGTAGTAGTCACGTGGTTTGTGAATACAATACTGAGTGACTGGGACCCGTTAGAAGACTATTGCCTACAGTGGGTGACTGTATGACCTATCAAAGATTAGAGATTCAGACATTCTCTTCCTTAATCCATTGAGAAATTCACAGGAGAGAGTGCTGCACCCTGTAAATGAGGCAACAACAGCATTTGTAGAGGCAAAATGTGCGGTTAACAAAATACAAACAATTAAACGCATGTCTCATTGACCTAGCTTTGTCTGCGTTCTGGGACTGTTCTCTTTGCAGCAGTGACTTTAGTTCTGGTCAGAAGTACTTCATCCACAGGAAATTGAACAAAAGAATAGTTTCTTCTCTAACTCTCTTCTCCCTGTTTTTATATTAAAGGTATTTTTCTGATCAGCAAGTGATCTTATGAAAGAATGTAATAGGAGAATCAAGGAAGTCTAATTTTAGTCTCTCTCTCTGGGAGACTCCCTGTGTGATCTGGGGGCATATAGCTGAAGTTTTCTGTTTTCCAATCTTCATGTTTTAACCTGTTTTAATAACTTTGCAAGATTTCTATCCACAAATAACTCCATAAAGAAGAAAGGAGACCACAGGAAGCCTGGTGAGCTCGGGGAAAGAAGAATGCCATGGAATCTGTAGTCCTGCAGATCTGGGCACCAGGGTGGTCTGCACATTTTTGCTGATCTCTAACCTGGACTGCATCCATGCTCTCTAAACATATTTAACTCATTAAATTAAGTTTGGTTTTTGGCCATCACTTCAAATTCAGCACAATCATTTTCCAGGCCTCTACCTTCGCCAAAAAAAATCACAATCAGTTCCTTCTCCAACATTCTGTCTACTGAGGACACTTAAGCCCACAAAGTCATTGTCTCATTTTGCTTTCTGATCGCTACCTTCCGGCAGCATCTGACATCATTTTCTGAAATGTATGTGGCCTCTTTTCCCCTTCCACCATTTTTACCCTACTGGAGGTCATGTCACTTCTCCCCAGAAATTCTGTAAGAGACCCTACAGTCTGTGTTTTCCTCTCTTCAACCCACAGTGATATACATTTCCTTAATGCTTATTTTGTCCTGGTTGTCTGCTGATATTAAAAACTCTGTTCACTTTTCACTTTTTTTTTTTTTTTGAGATGGAGTTTTGCTCTTGTCACCCAGGCTGGAGTGCAGTGGCATGATCTTGGCTCACAGCGACCAGTGCTTGCTGGGTTCAAGCAATTCTCATGCCTCAGCCTCCTGAGTAACTGAGATTACAGGTGCCCACCACCACACCCGGATAATTTTTATATTTTTAGTAGAGATGGGGTTTCGCCATGTTGGCCAGGCTGGTCTTGAACTCCTGACCTCAGATAATCTGCCCACCTCGGCCTCCCAAAATGCTGGGATTACAGGCGTGAGCCATTGCACCCGGCCACTTGCTATTTTCTCTTGCATCGGGTCTCATTTTCTCTCCCTGACTCCTAAGAACCTCTTCGGCTCCTTTACCCCAGGCTTTTCCCAATCAGCCACATCCTGCTCCCCAGTGAGTGCAGCACCACTTCTCTTTGCAAAGTGTTTCCAGCTCTCTCCCTCATAACTTTTTGGTCTGGTCCAATGCAGTGTCCCCAGACTGCCTCTCAGGTCTGAACTGCTTTCTTTGCCAACATTTTCCTTCCATGCTGCTGGTTCTGGAGACTCAGGTGCTGTTTTTTTCATCTTTTAAGAACAGCACCCTCTCTCTGGGAAGTAAAAAGTTAGACAGTGTTTTCAGAGGCGTGCTCCCTGATCCATCACTTCCCTGTCTGTGATTATTTCTTTGTTATGATTTCTGAAAGCGCTGCATGCAAACCTCCCTCTTTGGTTGTGCAGATAAGAGTCATAAAATCAACTCTGATGACAACTTGGAAAAATTAATCTTCTTTATTTCATCTATAACTCCTGCAATTTTCCTCTCTAGCCTCCACCTTGCAGAATAGGAAGAAAAAAATTAATTCTTTTCAGTCTAAGGTGGTCTAGAAAAGCAACAGTGCCGGGACTGCAGCTTCTTGATCAAGCTTGCCACCCTGTTAGTACGGCTAGGAATCTCATTGTTGCAGGGGCAATTTAGAGAAAATGGGGACAAGAAGCAGAGGGTCCTGCTGCTCCCTCCACACACCCCATCCTCATGTTCTGACGTGTCTGTGCCTTTCAAGCCTAAGTCCAGAAAGTGGAAACACGAAGACACCAGTGGTCACCCTGCTTATCTCCTCATTTCCCTTCCTCTTCGCTATCCCTTTGCCATTCAGTGGCCTCATGTGGGAAACTTTGCTCCCTTTTTTGGACACTTATGCCTTTGATGGACATCCAGCATCTTTGAGCAGCATTGCCTCTTCATTTCCCTGCCCACCCCCACCCCCACATTTCCCACCTTTTGTCCTCAAAAGTAGAAGCTAGAATTCAGTTTTCTAGTCTCCCTTGCATCTAAGGCGGCGGCCAGTGACATAGGCTCAGTTATTAGAGGCACCATGAGTGTGAAACCTGGATCTGGAAGACAGGTGTGGAGAAGGAGGTGCTGTCTGCCATGGTTTCCTGGTGAGTACGGGGGACACAGCAGAGAGCCGCTGAGTCACAGAGGTTCTGGTGTATTTGCTGGCTCTTCTGCTCCCTGGCAGCAGGATCACTCTTAATGTGCCTTCTGTTGGTATGATTTACAAGTTGTTCGTGGAGATGCTGCTTCTGAGCCTGATTCTCTGGCTTGTTGGAAAATTTCATAAACTAGCTAATAATATTCTTTAATAATTCTGCTTTAAGTGGCCAGAGCATTTTCACTTTAAATACTAGTATAGACCAGGCACGGTGGCTCACGCCTATAATCCCAGCACTTTGGGAGGCTGAGGTGGGTGGATCACAAGGTCAAGAGATCGAGACCAGCCTGGCAAACATGATGAAACCCCGTCTCTACTAAAAACACAAAAATGAGCAGGGTGTGGTGGCACACACTTGTAGTCCTAGCTACTGGGGAGGCTGAGGCAGGAGAATCCCTTGAACCCAGGAGGTGAGGTTTTAGTGAGCCAAGATCGCGCCACTACACTCCAGCCTGGCAATAGATCGAGACTCCATCTAAAAAGAAAAGAAAAGAACAAGCAAGCAAACAAAAACTAACATAATACCCTTTCATCCTCACACACGCACTGATTTTCTCGCCTGGATCGCTATTATATAAAATGTATGGGCCTATTTTGATCCTTGGTATATGCTGACTGGAAGTTTACAAATACCTGTTTTTCAAGTTTAGTCTTGCTCAGGGAGTTAGGTTCCCATTATCCCATGTAAATGTAAATCATTACTCCAGAGTAGTTTGGAGGTAGAAGGTTGCAAGGGAAAAATATTTGAGAATAATATAAACATGCATCAATTGAATATTTAAAAGCACATGACCCCATTAAATACGCTTTCTGGGAAGATTATGTTTATCCTTTTCTTCAGGAAGACCCCATTTCTGTGAGAATTTTCTGAAAAATTCAATGGCATGGGCAATTCACATCCCAGAGTCCAAAGGATCATTGCATGTTTGAGGAATGCCAGACTGGGTGAAAGACTTCTTCCTTCGGGACGTTTCTTTGCTTGTGCATCCCTGCTCTATGTCCTTCCGGATTGCTGCATTTCTGCTTCTGCTGGTCCTCTCCCTAGGAGATCCTAGCCACCGCCCATGATGATGCTTCCCAAACCACTCACCCTTCACAGTGATAGTTTAGTGCCACATTTCTTGCAATTTCTCTTGATGACTCTAATTTCCAATGAATTCTCTCCTGTTAACACTGGTTTAGCATTCAGAATAAGTGTCACACAGTTTAGCACTTAATCATTGCGATAGGTATTACACTTTGGCAGAAATAAACCTTAAGAGAGAGTATTCTAAGAAATGTAGTTTCTCCAGTTTCACCCAAATAGCATTCAGAATCTTGATTATTATAGATAAAAGGTGTCAATTCAGTCTTGTGTCATATAATAACAATAGCATGAGGGAATTTGTTTCTTCTTAGAACTCTAGATTTGTGTATTTCCTTTTGGATGTCTAATAGGCATCTTAACACAGTATGTCCAAAACTGAAATACTTTTTCCCCAAAATCTGCTTCTCATGTGATCTCCATAAATGGAAACTTAGTCCTTTTTAGTAGCTCTGGCCAAAAGTCTTGGCCTTGGCCAGGTGTGGTGGCTCATGTAATCCTAGCATTTTGGGAAGTTGGAGCAGGAGGATTGCTTGAGCCCAGGAATTTGAGGTTGCAGTGAACTGCGATTGAACCATTGCACTCCAGCTTGGGTGACAGAGCAAGGCCCTGTCTCAAAATAAATAAATAAAAGTCTTGGACATATCCTTTCTGTTTCTCTCCCAAATATATTTAATCCACTTGTGTGAATGTCATAGGCTCAACCTTTAACTGTATCTAAAGTTAAAGGTTTAGACTGTAACAATCACTTATTGCCAGCTTGAACATACCTTTTCTGTTTGAAAGGATATCCTTTCATATCCTTTCTGTCCATAAAAGCCTTGGATGTATCCTTTCTGTTTCTCTCCCAAATATATTTAATCTACTTGTGAATGTCATAGGCTCAAGCTTTAACTGTATCTAAAGTACAATCACTTATTGCCAGCTTCAGAGCTACCATCATCTCTCCTCCAGATTATTGCGGTTGCCTCCTATGAGAATAGTTCTGGTGCATCTGGCACTTCCCATTCTGCTCCTGCCCTCTGCCCTGAGCCACAACACAGTCTCAACACAGTCCTCAAAATAAAACTTTCAGACTTTATGCCATATCATGGAACTCCTCTCTTCAAAAGCATCAATTGGCTTCCCATGTCACTCAGTAAAAGTAAAATTTCCTCCAATAGCTGAGGAGATCTTGCATGAGGACACTAGTGGCTACCTTCCTGAGCTTGCCTCTCACTCTCTCCTGCCTCAGTGTTCCAACCATGTTAGCATCTCTGCTGCCCCTCGGCTAAAGAAAGCCTGATGATACTTCAGAGTGTTTACTTTTTTTTTT